CCAGCATGGTGAGATTTGGTCTCATGTCCTTTGGCCATATTATCAGAGGCCAATCCCTGCAGAAGGGCATCCTGCTTGGTAAAGTAGAGGGTCAATGAAGAAGAGGAAGACCCTCAATGAGAAGGATTGGCACAGTGGTTACAATAATGGCTGAAAACCTAGCAATGACTGTGAGGACAGCGTTCCACTGTGTTGGACACGGGGTCACTATGAACTGGAACCCACTTGAGGGCACCGAACAGCACAAGGGGGTGGGGATGAGGAAGAATTCATACACGCAAGTTGTTGGTTTCTGTAATTTTTTTTTTTTTTTTTTTAAGAAGAAAAAGTGCATTCATTGTCTTCTAGCCATGAATGAGTCCCTTTTCTGTGCATCTCTTACTCCCATTGTTGGCACGATGGCACAGTGTATACTGCCGTTTCTGAAACTCAGAATCTGGCTCTGGGCTGTTTCTCCAGCAGATGGAGGGTCTCCGTCCGTTTGGGCTTGGGGACAGGCAGTGAATTTCAAGTGAGGAAGAAGTTGGCCACCAGCCATTCTCTGTAGAAGAGTCAGGGTCACCATCCTGTGGAGAGACTCTGCCTTTCCTTTCTGTTGAGGGGACGTGATGGTCGTCCTCATTCCCAGCCTTCAGAGGACTCTCCACTTACTTAGTCGAAGTGACCACCAGAGGCATATGGCTGAAGGCATGATGCTCATTTCTGGGTGCCACCAGCAGGTGCTGTCCTTGAGTCTTTGAGGTGGGCATGCCGTGCCAGGAACAAGGGGGTGCAGTCCTCGTGCTCAGTTTCCTCTGGCTGGGATCTGGGGGTTTGCAGTTTGCTGACTGGATACATACACCCTAGTCGTTCACTGTGACCACCAGCTGTCCAGTTAAGGGGGGGGGGGGGGGGTTGGCGGGGGAGCTTGGGTTCCAGACAAGTTTCAGGAAAGGCCAACGTCAGCGTGAAGAAACCCAGATTTCTAATGAGAGGACTCCAGTCACCTAGGAGCTGCCATTTACTTGAGCGTGTTGTTTGTCTGTGGCGCTAATGGGCCAGGGTGGGTGGGAGCAGATGCTCAACTAACCTACAGTTGTGCTCACTTCCCTGATGATTGAATCACTGTTTATGATATTTATTAGCAAAACCATATCATCCCAAGAAAGTTCAAGCGTTAGTCAAAAAGTATTGTCACAAACAATCATAGAAAACTTTATAAACAAAAACATCAAAATGTGAAGCTGCTGTTTCTCAATATATCCTCCATTTGGAGCTATGCACTTCTGAAAACAGTGTTTCTGTCTCCTGAACCCTTCTCTGAAGAATTCTGCAGTCTTTGATTTACCCCACATCAAAGTGGCAGCTTGGGAATCTCTGAGACACTCAAATCGTGTTTCTTTAAAATGTGTGTTGAGTTTGAGTACAAAAAGAAATCTGGAGGGGTAATATTAGGGATGTAGGCTGGATGGGGGAAGGTTTGACAATGACATTCTCATAGGGACAGTCCTTGGTACCCTTGGAGAGTTCGTCTTGAAAACTGACATTTTAAATTGTTTTCATCGTTAATGTGATTTTTGTTGCAAAAACTGATCTGCGTGCATCATTATTGTATCTTCCTCCTTATCCTAGCCAAGGTTGGCGGTTCAAACTCAGCAGCCACTCCTCGGAAACCCTATATAGGGTTGCTATGAGTTGGAACTGATTCGATGGCACTCAACAACAACAACAACAACAACCTGGGCATGGAGTCTCTGAGTGGTGCAGACAGTTCAGCGCTAAGCTGCTAAATGTGAAGTTGTAGGGTCAGGTCCATCCAGACTCACCTCAGAAGGAAGGCCTGACCTGGTTTCAGGGTTTCCTGTCTCTTTAGTCTCAGAATTTCAGTGGCTTTTGAACCAACATGTTTAAGATTTGAAAGCGCAATGACTCTGACCAACTTGCAGGATCCACTATTTGATGTATGGGGAAATGGGGCTTTAAGAGTCAGATTCCACAATGTCTTCTTGGTACCTGGAAGGGGAAAACATCTCTCAAGTTGTCAGCAGGGAATGCCTACCATTTAGGTCTGCGACAAGGTTGTGTTCTTTCGCCATACTTATTCAACCTGTATGCTGAGCAAATAATACGAGAAGCTGGGTTCTATGAAGAAAAACGTGGCATCAGGATTGGAGGAAGACTCATTAACAACCTGCGATATGCAGATGATACAACCTTGCATTGGGCAAATCTGCTGCACAGGAACTTTTTTAAGTGTTGAAGAGCAGAGATGTCTGCTTGAGTACTAAAGTGCGCCTGACCCAAGCCATGGTATTTTTAATAATTTCACATGGATGCGAAAGCTGGACAATGAATAAGGAAGATCGTAGAAGAATTGATGCCTTTGAATTGTGGTATTGGAGGAGAATACTAAAAGTGCCATGGGCTGCCAAAAGAACCAATAGATCTGTTTTGGAAGTGCAGCCAGAGTGCTCCTTGTAGGCCAGGATGGCTAAGTTTCGTCTCTCATACTCTGGACATGTTGTCAGGAGGAAACAGTCGCTGGAGAAGGATGTCATGCTGGGTAAGGTGGAGGGTCAGAGAAAAAGAGGAAGACCCGCAATGAGATGGATTGGCCAGGTGGCATCTTTGATGGCATCAAGTGTGGCAGCGGTAGTGAGGTTGGCCCAGGATCGGACATTGTTTAGTTCTGCTGTGCATGGGGTCGCTATGAGTCAGTTCCGACTCGATGGCACCTGACAACAACAACATCTTCAGGAAGGTTTATTGTCCGTTCTGCCAGTGGCTCAGTGACTAAAACAGAAGGTAGAGCTAGACTTTCAGATGAGTGACTCCCCAGAATTCCCTAGGTGTGAGGAAATGCTGGCACATAAGCCTCCCTGTTGCTCTCACTGAAAAGACTACAACGGTATTTCATGATTTGAAACAGGTTTGCCGATACCTTTCTAACATAACACGGAGAGTACATTTGAAAGTATTCTTTTACCTTTCACCTCATCCTTTCAAATGTTCTGTTTCTGATATTTGTTTTAATGGTCATGATCTGTTAGCATGGAGGTGGTGTTGATGGTGCCGTGGAGCCAGTTCCGACTCCTAGTGACCTTGTACAGGGTTTCCAAGACTGTAAATCTTTACGGGAGCAGAAAGCCTCATCTTACTCCCACAGAACAGCTGCTGGATTCAAACTGCTGACCTTGTGGTTAGCAGCCCAAGACACAACCCTTTACGCCACGCGAGCGCCTTTAGTAGCATAGTAATGTATGGAGTCCTGGTGTGGCGCCTGGACGGCTAAATGTAAGGTTGGCAGTTCAGACCCACTAGCTGTCCCTTGGAAACAGTGCAGCTTTGCTGTGAGACAGAACCAGTTCGATGGCACTTCACAACAGTGAGAGCAATGCGTGGTCACGTGTGCCCACGATCGTGTAGCCGGCGCACGACTGGGTAGCCAGCTCTCCTCCTGTTGCACCATCAGGTCACCTCAGTGGCAGCTACCAACCATGACGACACATTCCGTGAGTTACAAACGAGCAGTCCTGTGCTGGTGATTTATCCTTGTGGGTTTATCACCCATGGGGTGCTGTCAGAGCAGTTGGGGCCCCTTCGTTACAAGCTGGTTAGTCTGAGAAGGCACGTGGGGGCCCCAGACCACAGAGCAGGGGTCCTCAAGTAAGCTACCTGGGTTCCCATGGGAGGACACGGTGCTTCCAATCTTGGCTTTGCTTGGCTTCCTCCTTGGCCAATAATTTCACATGCCCCTGAGCTACCCACTGCCTCAGTCCAGGGTGTGTGTGGGTGTCCATGGGTTCAGGTATTCCATGGAAGTCCTTGTCAGTGTTTATTCTAGCACGAGTTCCAGTGGGTAAGGGGGCAGGGGGCACCATGTCCGGTGTGTGAGACCACGTGACCAGGGAGCATGTGGACCCAGTGCGCCTTGATGCTGCCCGGTGGGATTACATGTGAGCAGATCAGAACCGCAGCCAGGGCTCTGGACAGTAGGGGTACGTGTGAGCTGCAGACCCCATGACAGGACTCATGGCCGAAGACTCACAGCTGAGTCTGATCCTCCCCAAACTTACTGAGATCTCTGAAATTTGACAGCGTAGTTCCAAAAGAGCACAGCGATTGAAAAAAACAAAGAAAGAGACCTCTTCACACTGCATATATGTTCACCCAAACATTTGCACATTTGCACAATGCCCACGAGTACTTTGCAACCATTTCAGTGAAGGACAAGAACTGCCCCAGGTGCTGTGGAGTGGGTCTCTCCCTGCCCTGCCCATTCAGTGGCTTGGGCTGCCGAGCTTTTGTGCCTGATCTCTGACTGTTTACTCTGCCCTGTGGTCACCACCTGCCACGCTCTGTAGCAAGTCACCCATCAGCTATTAGAGCTGTGTGATTCCGAGACGGCTGATCCTAAAAGTAAATCACTTTGGAGTTAATCTTGCTTTTGGTCTTTACACTGTCATAGAGACAATCTTCTGTATTAACTGTGCCGCTTTGGAAGAAGGGTTTCTTAATCTCCCTGGGCTTTGCTTTTTCAACTGTGAGGTGGATTTAGGGTTATTGTATGGGTTCAATGAGTGTGTAAGAGCCCATGCAAGATGGCATTCTTGGCTCCCTCTAGCTTAGCTTTGTAGGGCGGGAGTGTTCAGTTCATCCAGAAGGGGAGGCTGGTCAGAAACTGAGGATGAGTGTTGTTGCTGCCGCCGCCATTGTTATACTTCCAGAAAGTTCCACTGGGCCACACTGGGGCCTAGTGAACTGTGTTTGCCCTTGGGCCTCATGCCGGATGACATGCTGTTGTTGCTTTGTTGTTGTTAAATGTCGTTGTGTCTATTCCAATCCCACAAGGGTTTGTGACACTTTAAATCTTCAGGGGGAACAGAAAGCTTCATCTTTCTCCTGAAGAACAGCTGGCAGACTTGATCTTGTGGTTCGCAGTTCAGTGACATCTTAGTTCAAAGGTATTTATTTTGTGGTCTGAATATCTTCTAACCCTCTCTTCTCGTTTTCTGTTGCAGGGACCCAGCTCTTTAGTGGCCAAAGTAACTTTAGAATCACTACCTTGAAATTTCATCCCAAAGACCACAGCCTTTTTATCTGTGGAGGCTTCAGCCCCGAAATCAAAGCTTGGGACATACGGACTGGCAAGGTAAGCAGTTCTCCTCAGCTGGCCTGCCCCTAGACAAGCCCCATGGACAGTCTGAACCATGGGGGCAGACCAGCATCGATATATAGAATCCTTGAGATGGAATAATAATCACTTAATAGTTCATCAGTGCGGTGTGTAATTCTTAGCTGTTTTGAAAAAACGTTCTTGAATTGCTGGACTATTAACACATCATAGGTGCAATTCTGCACAGCATGTTTCTAAAAATATTTACTGAACCTACTGTGTGTAGCTGGTGCTGGATAATATAAAACGTATCAGCCTGGAGCCAGCTGTGGTAATCATGTGAGGATATAGACACATCTGGTATGTGTGCAGTGTGCATGTGTGCCTGAATTTGTGTTGAGTGTGTGTGTGTGCATGGATGTGTAGTTGTATTGTATATGTGCATGAGTGTGAGTTTGTGCTGTGTGTTTATATGGTATGTGTTTGTGTTGTGAGTGTATGTGCATGAGTATATGAGTCTGTGTTGTGTGTGTGTTGTGGGTGTGAGTTTGTGTTGTATGGGTGGGTAAGGGGACATCTTCTCAGTGGGCATGGTGCTGTCTGGTCATGGTCATTTGTCTGGAGAAGTGATTCTTCCCCTCCCCACCTTCACCTCAGTCTGATGTTCCCGCTGCCTCCCCAGCTCAGTCTATGGTAGCTCCATCCTTCTAGTTGTTTAGGGCCAAAAAAGTCCGAGTGCCCCTGTGTCTCTTCTTCCTGTCCAGCCCCATCTCCAGTCCCGGAGCGGGAACCCAGCCACTCCTTTGTCTCCACTGCTGTAGCGCCAGTCGCAGCCTCCCTTGCATGTCCCTGTGAGAAAGGCCACTATTCACTCTGGTCAGAGCCCTCTAGGCTCCCATCTCACAGTGGAAGCCGGGGTCCCTGCATTGCCTCCCCCTGCCCACTGGCCTCCTTGCCTTTCTGTGAGCACATCAGCCCACTCCTGTCTCAGGGCTCTGCTCCAATGTTGCTGCTGCTCCAAGGCCTCCCTGACTCCCCTTGGACCACTGTGGAGCACCCTCAGCATCCTGTGGTCCCTGTGTGTGACATCATCACTTGTTTATTGACTTGTCTGTCTCTGGGCGCATGGCGGGCAGGATTTTGTCGGTTCTGTCGCTGTGGACTTGTCAGTGTGACACACAGCAGGTGGTCACTGAGCCTTTTCAGATTGACTGAATGAGTGTGCAAGCTTGGGACATGCAAGGGGACCGGTTTCATTTGGCCATGTGTGGGGTCCAGGCACTGAGCCAGTGGGCTTTGAACACCCCGTGTTTGGATGAGTAGTGGGAACCATGGTAGGTTTTGAGCAGGGGGGCTGAGCTCAGGAGTGGACAGTGAGCCCCTGGCCCCAGCGGCAGTGACAGGATGAGGGGCATCGATGCTGGCCAGGCTTACCAGGGAAGAGCCAGAGGCCTGGTGCATCTAGGGGCCCAATGACTCTAAGACACCACGTCTTCGAGATCTGAGCAGCACTGGCCTGGTATGAAGGAGGGCAGTTCACACTAGAACCTGTGTGACCTCATCCTTGGAAGACGAAGGCGAGGGTGTCAGAGCGTCTTCCTCCACCATGGTGAGTCTCTAGCACCAGCATCCCACTGGTCCAACACTTGTGGACACCTCTATGCTGGAAAAGGCGTGTGCTAGAATCCAGACTTATACCCACAGTCTCCTGGGTAGCGCCTCCTGGCTGGTTGTTGAAAGGGACTGCTGATTTTGTAGGAGAACCTAAAACAGAGATCCTTCTCTTGAAAGGGAGTCTCCCAGTGGTGCAAATGGGTTTAACATGTTTGACTGCTAATCGGAGTTAAGGCCTGGTGATCTACTTCCGAAGGTCCACTCTTCAGCACGGATCTACTCTGACACGGGGATCGGGACGAGTTGGGGTTGACTGAAGGCAATTGGTTTGGTTTTGGCTTTTGTTTTTCTTCTTTAAAGATGTTGTTTGTTGTTAAGTGCCTTTGAGTTGGTTCAAATTCATAGCAACTCTGTATAGAGTTTCCAAGGAGCAACTGATGAGCTTGAACCGCCAGCCTTGCAGTTCACGCCAAGCTTGCATCCTGTGCATTAACCCACAACATCTCACCAGGACTCCATGGGAAGTTTTGTCCTGAGACTTGCTTGCAGTTCTCTCCAGGTGGGGAAATCAGAGCATAGGTAGAGGTGTTCTTTGACAAATTTCTTTTTACAAAAGTATTTAGAGAAGGGAGAAAAAATTACCTGTAAGGGAAGGGAATGCACTAGACTTGAAACCCCATTAGGACTCGTAACATGGGGCATGGGGTGCGAGTGTATGATGGCCGGATGCGAATGTGCATAAGCTACAGGGTGTGTGGTGCCTCTCACTCATTACCTGGGGGTCGCCCGATTGCCAGCCCTCCCGAGGCCACAGCCCTTAAATTATTTCTAGCCTCACAGACCAAACACGTAAGAAATTACTCACCAAGGATGCCATCTGATTCAAGGTTTGTTAAAAATATCAGCATTTCTCCTAGGGCAGATGCCAGCTGACGCGCTTTGAGAAAGCTGGGGGAGAAACAATTAGAAGCAGATGTTGCTGTGACCAGTATTGGCATGTTCACGAGTCTCCCCGAGCTGATCATGTGTGGATAGGGATTGGGGTCATAGTTGTTTTTACTTCCATTTCACCAGCCTTCCACGCCAGGTCACTGAGCTCCTTCCCTTGACATCAGCCAGGCTCAGGGCTCAGCGCTCTTTCCCTGACAGAGGTGGTCCAGGTGCCTGCTATGGATGGAGGCACGGCTCCCTGCCTGGGCTTTCCCATTCCATCACTCTGCCCTACCTTAGGAACCCAGGGCTCTGTCTGTGCTCAGGGCGCTGTTTGTGGTGCTGATCCTGCAGGCCATACATCCCTGTTCAGTGTAGTTCTGTCTGACTGCCTTTAGGAACAGCAGTAGGAACCACAGGTGGAGGAGGCATCAGAATGGCACACAGTCTTCCCCCTTTAAAATTAAACAGGAGGGCTGCTTTGTTATAAAAGTCATATGTAATTGTTATGAAAAAGTTTGGGCAATATGAGGAAATTAAAATACAGAAAAGGGCTAGGTTGGCCAAACAAAGTTAGAACTTTAATAAGATTTATATCTTTTCCTTTCAGTGTTCTTTCATCTGTATTAAAAAAAAACCCCAACTTGTTTATTATTGTTGTTGTTGGGTGCTGTTGAGTCATGTACGACTCATGGCGGCCCTGTGTAGGGTTTCCAAGGAGCAACTTGTGGGTTTGAACTGCCGACTTCATGGTTAGCAGTCCAGTGGTTCTACAGCGCCACACCAGGACTCCATTGTCGGGACTAGACACAATAAATATGCAACAATTCAGCAGTTTCGACAGGGACAATTCCGTGACAGGGATTCGAGTCTTTGAGTCGCACACTTATTCTCATCCTTCTCTTCTGAGGTATTCTTTCCCTGGACTATAGACTTGGTGGTGGTGGTGGTTATGTGCCATGGAGTCGGTTCTGACTCACAGCGACCCTGTACAGCGTTTCCAAGGCTGTAAATCGTACTGCCCCCTAAAGTTCCTGTCTGATCTTTAGAGATGCTGTTGTCAGTATGATCCCAAATAATTGGTAGGTCTTCAAGGAGCATAATGCTCAGGAAGACATTTCTACTAATTAAACAAAATGATGATTTGAAAGAATCCATGGATATTTTTGGACGGCAGTTTTTTTTAAAAAGTCATTTTTATTATTTTATTTTTAAACACAATTCTGTATTTTGTTGTTTCATATAGCATTATAAGGTATTCCTTGTAGCATGGTAGGATCAGCATTGGGTTGCAAACCATAGGTTGGTGGTTCAAACCCACCGGCTTCTCCTTGACAACCCTGCACAGGGTCGCTATGAATCAGATTCGATTCACTCTATGGCACTTAACCACAGGAACAGCTTTTTTTTCAACAACAACTTTTTAAAAAATGTTTTATTGTGAATTATGTGATAGTTTACATGGGAGAACATTAGTTTTACATTCATCCTATCATATACTGTTTCATTGCCATGGTTACAATCCCCTAACCAACCAAAAGGTATACACTATAAACTTGCACCCTGGTCATCAGCACACAGTCCCTCTACCTCTCTGGGTCTAAAGTCCCCAGCTGCTCCATCGCTCCACGTCATCGTCTCTGCCTCCATCTCTGGCATCACTGCTTCTCTGGGTAGGGTCCCGCTCTCTACTCTTCTCCCTTGATGGTCTCAGGGACCTCTGCTCCTAAACTGAAAAGTTAATCACTCCCCTCCTTGCTACAAAAACCTTTACATTTCCAACCCTCACAAGCAGTCCTGATAACAATTATTCACTATTGTATCACAAGAGACCTATCCACATTCATTTCATCAGTCCCGTCCAGACAGATTGGATACTACTCAGTGGAGATTCTACCTTCCTTCACGCCCTCTGAATCTAGGTTCCCTCTTGAAAGCTTATAAGCCAGTCACTTCTTGCCTTTGTAGATCGCCCCCCCCCCCCATTTTCAACAACAACTTCTTAACGCAAACACCTTGAACAGTTTTCAGTAGCTTTCCTTTGATGCCTCATCCCTCCCAGCTTTGCCCCCAGCACCCAGCAAAGTGCCAGGCATAACGGACACTCAATCAATGCCTGTGTATAGAATGAGTCAGATGGATGGGTACTTTGATTTTTGAAGTCATTTCCCCTATGGGGAAGTTGGGGTATTCTGGTTTTTGTTTTTGTTTTCTCTACTGAAATTACTAGAACTGAAGGGTAGAGATTAAAGCCATGCTGTTGATTCCAGCTCACAGTGACCCTGCAGGACTGAGGACAACTGTACCTTAGGCTTTCTGAGGCTGTCAATCTTCATGGGAAGAGAAGGCCTCGTCTTTCTCCTACTGAGTAGCTGTTGGGTTTGAAATACCCACCTCTGTTAGCAGCCCAATGCTTAACCCACAGTGCCAGAGGTCCAGAAACTACAGCTTGAGGTCAAATCTGGCCTGCTATCTGTTGTTATTGTTTTAAA